TAACTTGGGGATAATTTCTTATAGAATTATTGAGAAAATTGAACAAGTCACTACATATAAAAGTGGTTTGAACTGTTGCTGGAATATAGTAAGCACTTAATATATATGAGCTGTTTTTCTTTCCAAGATTATGTTTAATTTCTTAGTTTTATGGTCCCAGGCTTTCATGACCTACCCAAATGTGATGGAAACTGTGGACTGACTCACAAAGTCTTATCAACTTGGCCTGTAGTTGGAGAAATTTAAAAGCTAAAAATGTTATACTTGCTCTTTTCAGCTAACACTCTGCATGTAACCTATGCCTAATGGGTAAGATTTAAAGAGCAGGAACCAATCACAGGTCATCTTCCAGTCAGTTCTTACAGTAGTCTTTGCGAGCAAATATCACCTTGCAAATGATTATGTTTCAGCTGGTTCCTTGTGAGCAGTTTTGAGTATTGATTCTTTGGTTTCCTGGGTGCCAGAGGCAAAAGTGGCAGCAGAGGTGTTGGTGGCAGTCTAGATTTTAGAACAGCCTTTATGTGGCCTCAAGGAAGCCCTCCTGTAAGTGAGATTGCTATTGTTCTGAAGACATTGCTGGATCCATAAGACACAGTGAATCTTAACTAACAATCTAGGTCAACCCTAGTATAATCTTTCATTTCTCCCATCATAAACTCTGCAATCCAGTCAGGGTGCTTCCCTACTTTCCAAATATTCCATGCTTTCCTCATCTTCTCAGTTTTCTTATGCCATTTCCACCTCACTCCCTCCCCTCTAGAATCATTCTTGTAATCCCAAATCTTCCATTTGAAACTACCTTTTAGAAAGTTCCTTAGTTTATATGCAGTCATAGCTCTAATATAAACACTTTTTATTTTGCAATTTTTGGCAAAAGTAATCTGCAACAGTAAAACACGGATTAGGCAAGTTTACATACATATGATCACAATCTAGCCAAGAAAACTTCATCAATCATTTCCAGATTTCCAAAGAGGGCATAATTTAACTTGGAGATCTTTTTCTCAGGACTTTGTAGGCCTTTTCAAAGTTTATTTAATGCCTCTTACTTCTGGTAAAAGAAATTTCTGCAGCCCCAAGTTCAACATATAAATAATTTTAAGCTAACTTACATCACCCTTGGGGAATACAATATTTTGAATCAAAAGAGCCCAGTTTAGGCCAGGCATGGTGGCTCTCATCTGTAATCCTCATGTTTTTGGAGGCCAAGTCAGGAGAATGACTTGAGCCCAGGAGTTCAAGACCAAACTAGGCAATATGGCAAGACCCTGCCTCAATTTTTTTAATTAAATTTTTTTAAAAATTCAAAAGAGCCAGTTTAGACCAAATATGTGTTTCAAGATGCACCACTTGTAAGTAATGCTGAATTTCAACACCCTTTTATTAGACTAGGGAATAGACCACAACCTACAATCAGGTTATATGTTTTAAACCTAGAGATACAGGTTTTGAATCTACTTTGTTCAGTGGTCTTAGGTAAGTAGTTTAAACTATCTGAGTAAATTATACAATTCAAGTAGAAGTCAGCAACATAAAAACACTGCAATTCTAAAGCTACTGAGGTTGCTTTAGAAACATGTTCCTCTAAAACTTAGGTTCTTCTACCATGTCTTCTCTGAAGTGGCTGTTTTACTGTCTAAGCCGTTTTGAATATCTGGGTTCCAATATGCTTCAGTAGAAACCTACCTCTGAGGAAAGTGACCCTAACTTAGTTTTTTATAAGCTCTGCTACATGCACTATAAACAAAAACAAAAACAGCATCTGATGGTTTCAAAAAGTCTTATGTAAATTTTTGTGTAACAGCCCAGGATTTTTAGATTCCCTCTCTATTGAAGATGAAGGCTTCAGCATGAGTGAAAGGCACTAACATTACACATAATTTAAGTAGATACACAAAACTAGACACTCAAAGTTGTCTCTGTTTCTGATACTGCCACACTGTAAGGAAAACCCTAAGTACCCCAACTCTCTTTTCTCTTAAGCCCAGTGCATTCCCAGGAAGCATCTTAGTCATGACACCCCTGGTGGCCCATCCTTCCAGCCTCCACACATGAACAGTATATTCCTTTTGTATTGCTGATTTAAGAAATTACCATAAATGTAGTAGCTTACAACACCACCCATGCTTTATCTCATAGTTCTACAGGTCAGAATTCCAGGAGATGCTCAGCTGGGTCCTCTGGTCAGAGGTCATCAAGGGGAAGAACCCGCTTCCATGCTCATTCAGGTTGCCAGTACAGTGGGTCCTGTTGTCTTGCTGGCTGTGGGCCAGGGCTCATTTTCAGCTTCTGGAAGTTGCCAGCTGTCCTTGGGGTTATGCTCTGCTCCTTCAAAGCCAGCAACAGTGCTTCAATTCCTTCTTAAATTTCAAATCAATCCGATGTCTTCAGTTGCATCTCTGTAACTTCCTGCCTTCCTCTTCTGCCTTATTCTTCTGGTTTTAGGGTTCATGTGATTACATTGGGTCTACCCAGAAAATCCAGGTATCTCCTATTTTAAGATTAAATAATTTAGTAACTCTATGTATATCTGCAAAGTTCCCCTTGCCATGTAACATAATATATTCATGCTCCCGGGGATTAGGGGCTTTCATTGGGGGCTTTAATTCTGCCTACCACAATCTGACATGTCTGAAACCAAGGCTTTCCAGCTGGAGCACCTAGTTCTTACAGCATTCAGTGGACCAGGGGGGAAAAAAAATCTCTATCTGCAAGTGTCCACTTAAAATCCATGAAGGATAAAATTTGTTTGTTAAATATTAGAATGATTGCATAACAATAAATGTATTTACACCCTCCTATCCAGTATCCTTTATCAAAAAATGTAGAAATTCATTTGATTATATAAAAATTACAATTACAAGGTCAATATTCTGGATAAGACATTATGAATGTTTGGTTTTGTGTGACAATTGAATTACATGTGAGTTTTTGTATCTATGTGTGTATAAATATAGAGAAAGTCAATGTAACATAGTTGAGGGAAACAGATTGGACAAACAGACTTCTAAATTCTGGTATGAGTTCTGCTACAAACTACCTGTGTGACTTTAAACAAGTCACCTAAGGAACTCTCATCCTAGTCTTTTCTCTTGTAAAGTTGGCTGTTTCATCAGGTTGACCTCCAGCTGAAGAGTCTGTATCTCACATAATTTATATTTATTATAAAGTAAAACGGCTCAGAAACCCAGAAATCAACTCCTTAGAACCATTTATTCACAGAATAGTAAGGAGAATTTAAATTTGTATTAAAATCTATGAAGTATTTTTCAATTCTTCCTAGAAAAATCACCAAATTTTGTTTCTCTTTCAAATCATTTTGCTGCTAACAAAAGGAAAATTCACAAGTTTAAAATCCGTTCCTCAAGAAACAAAGTGAAATTTTAGTTTTAAAGAAGAGGTTGAACATCTCAAGATTAATACACATCCTAATGCAAAACAGATGGTTATCAAAATGTCTTCCTAAGAAGGCAACATAAGCAGAACAAATCCTGCACGAGATTTTGCCCATCATATTTTTCCTGTGATGAATTCTGATACATCATCACTCTTCCTCTTAAGTTTACAGCAAGTTCCCTTTGCTCCAGTTCACTGCATCTATTTTCCAGTACACCAGCAATTGCACAAAACATATTTTTAGTAAAACATACGTAACATGTGTTTTGGGTATAAGAGTCAGCTCTTATTTCTGGACTCAAAACCACAGTTTCAACAACAGTGACCTCACCTAACAGTTATCTACAATTAATGTGAAAAAATGTTTGTTGAAGGTAGTCAAAGTGTCCACATTAACAGAATCCAATTTTTTTCCCCTGAAAGAGATTCATGGGTTCAAAAGCTCTTACATACCAAGTAATCTTACAAGCTTACATTTTCTTTATTAGGTTTTATATCCAAAATGTGTTTATTGGGATGGTTTCCTATTTATCCTGATTCACGGTGCTTTTAGTGCTGCTTCCATCTGAAGGAACATTCTTCTGTAAGCCTTGCTTTTCTCCCTGTATGCTGACAGAGGACAGTGGAGCAGACCACCCACAAAACTACCATCTGTGTACGGCTAACAATCGTGCTGATCTTATAGCATCCTGGGCATTTCACATCCATGAAGTAGGAATTGAGGCTCTGCACCAGGCACTGCCTCTTGTATTGCCTCCCCTCCATTTCTAGAGAACAATGAAGGAAATGTTTCCCAAGAGGCATGCTCTCCTGGGGAGGCTATCACCACCAGAAAAAACGAGTTTACAATTTCTGTCACTTGCTTTCACTTCGAACTCTTTAAATGACACTTAGTTTTGTTTAGTTGAATTAGTACAATTTGTTTCTCAAAAAGTAGTTTGCACTTGCTGGTAATTGTTGCTGATATTCAGATTTTTTTAACCTCATAAGTAAAGCAAAAAAGCACAGCACCCCTAATTTGCATTGTATATTTTATTTCCATAGGACATACACAGACTATTTCCCTTATGGTTATGTGAATATATTTCAAAAAGCAGAAACCATCTCTAGCTCTGATAGCACTCAAAGCACAGGACTTTGCACATTGTGGTTGCTCAATAAATATTTTTGCATAATTTATTAATCAAATTCATGAAATTCCATAGAGCATATAGCAAAGTAGAGAACAGTCCAGTTCTAGCTAATGCTATTAGTACCAAAGCAGCAAGTTCTCCTCTGTTCTGGGACCACATTTTCAATCAATTTTTTATTGAAAAATTTTAAAAATTATATTAATATACAATTTACATACAGTTAAACACACTCATTTTAAGGGTTGATTTTTGACAAACGCATCATCTAAATATAACTCACCAGCATAATCAAGATATGTATGTATGTATACATTTATATATATGCATATGTATATGTTATGCAAATGTATATAGAGGGTGGTCATTGGGGGATTATGGGTGTTGATTTGGTAAGGTATTTTTGGAGTACAGATCTGAGTTTTAAGACCAGTATAGATTCATGTCACCATCTTCACAATCAAGATACTGAACAATGCCTTTACCCCAAAAGAATTCCCTCATGCTGCCCCTTGTGGTCAAGCACTTCCCAGATTCCTAGACCCTGACAACCACTGGTCTATTCTGTGTTCTGATATTTTTGCCTTGTCCAGAATGTCATTTTCATTGCATTATACAGTGTAACAATCTGAGACTGGCTTCTTTCACTCAGCATAATGCTTCTGAGATTCATTCGTGTGTGCATCAATAGTTCATTCCTTTATATTGTTAAGTTGTATTCTATTATATGGATAGACCACAGTTTATACATTCACCCACTGAAAGACATTTGGGTTCTGTCAAGTATGTGGCAATTATGAATAAAACTGCTATAAACTTCTTTGTACAGTTTTGTGTGTGAACATAAGTTTTCAGTTCTCTGGGATAAATACATAGGAATAAAATTTCTGGGTCATATTGTAAATGTATGTTTAAATTTATAAAAAACTGGCAAACTATTTTCCATCTTGCATTTTGCATTTCCAACAGTAATATATGAGAGTTCCGGTTACTCCACTTATTTGCACTTGGTATTGCTTGGGATGGTTTTGGTTGGTTTAATTAATTGTAGTTTTAATTTGCATTTCCCTAATGGCTAATGATGTTCAACATCTTTCACAAACTTATTCGCCATTTGTATGTCTTATCCAATGACTGTTCAAATTATTTGCCCATTTTTAATTGGCATTTGTTTTCTTATCATTGAATTTTGAGAGTTTTTAAAAATATATTTTGGATACATTGTTTTATTATATCTATGATTTGTGAATTGTTTTTCCCAATCTGTAGCTTGTCTTATCATTCTCCTAATGGTGTCTTTTGCAGAGCACATGTTTTTAATTTGTATGAAGCCCAATTTATCAATGTTTTTTGAAGATTATGCTTTGGGTATCATATCAAAAACTCTTTTGCCAAAAACTCTTTGCCAAACTCAAGATCAACTAGATTTTCTTCTATATTTACTACTAAAACCTTTATAATTTTATATCTACAATCTACTTCAAGTTAACATTTGTATAGATATAAAAATTAGGACTTTTTTGATATGGCTGTGCAATTATTCCAACATCATTTGTTGAAAAAAATACTCTTCATTGAATTGCTTTTGCACCTTTGTCAAAGTCACTTAACTATCTAGTTATGCATCTGTTTTTGGGCTCTAGTCCTTGTCATTGATCTGTGAGCCCATGATTTCACACATACCACACTGCCTTGATTACTGTGACTTTATCAGAATTCTTAAAATCAAATACTGTACTTTCTCAAAATTTATTCTTTTTTTTCCTTCAAAATTGTTTTGGCTATTTTAGTTCCTTTGTCTTTTTAGGTAACTTTAAAATCAGCTTGTCTATTTCTACAAAATATCCTGCTTGGATTTTTATTTGAATTTGTTTAAATCTATATATCAATTAGAAAATGATTGATATGTTAATTATATTAAGTCTTTCAATCCATGAACACAGTTATCACTCTTCACTTATTTATTTAGGTCTTTTATTTTATTTTATTTTTTCTTTGAGATAAGGTCTGGCTGTGTCACTGAAGCTGGAGTGCAATGGCACGATCACAGTCCACTGCAACCCTAGCCTCCCAGACTCAAACCATCCCCCTACTTCAGCGTCCTGAATAGCTGGGACTGTAGGCATGCACCATTATGCCTGGATAATTTTTGTATTTTTGGTAGAGATAGGGTTTTGCCATGTCGCCCAGGCAGGTAGTGATTCTTTAGTTTTCAGAATACATATCCTAGATACTTTTAAGTTAGATTTATACTTAAATTCTTTCTTTTTTGGGGGGCAAAGGAACTACTGTAAATTGTATAGTTATTAATATTTTTCCCATTTACAACCATACATTGCTAGTGAATAGAAATATAGGACTGGCCACAGTGGCTCATGCCTGTAATCCCAGCACTTTGGGAGGCCGAGGTAAGAGGATCATTTGAGCCCAGGAGCTCGAGACCAGCCTGGGCAACAAAGCAAGACCCCCATCTCCACAAAAAATAATAATAATAAATAAAAATTAGTTGGGCATTGTGGCATGCACCTGTAGCTACTTGGGAGGCTGGGACAAGAGGATTACTTGAGCCCAAGAGTTCTTGGGTCCAGTGAGCTATGATCATGCCACTGTACTCCAGCCTCGGTGACAGAGTGAGATACTGTCAAGAAGGAAAGAAGAGGAAAGAAAGAGAGAGAGAGAAGGAAGGAAGGAAGGAAGGAAGGAAGGAAGGAAGGAAGGAAGGAAGGAAGGAAGGAAGGAAGGAAGGAAGGAAGGAAGGAAGGAAGGAAGGGGAGAGAGAGAAGAGAGAAAGGGAGAAAGAGAGAGAGAGAGAGAAGGAGGGAGGGAGGGAGGGAAGGAAGGAAGGAGAAAGAGAGAGGGAGAGAAAGAGAAAGGAAAGAAGAAAGGAGGAAAGAAAAGAAGGAAAAAAATGAGATGCTACATTGTATAGTAAAACTTTTTAAGAGGAAAGTATAGGATGGTGATCAGACTCAAAACCACACCACTTAAAGCAACTGAAAAAATTTTAGCTCATAGAGAAGACTCAGGGAGATAAAATAGACTATCATGGGTGACTTCAAATATGTGAAATACTGTGTGTAACTTTAGGAGTTATATATGTATTTTAGGAAGACAAGGTCCCAATGCAGTTTAATATTAATAGGAGATTAATAGGAAAATCAGAATTTCAACAACCTAATATTTTAAAAGATTAACCTGTCAAAACTGAAACTCTCAGAAAATATGATCTGTGAATATCTTATCACAGTCTTTTCCATCAGAAATCAGTCAACAATTAAACAGCCTACACTAATGAATCTATGCTTATGTGTTATTATTTATAAAATCTTTCGTATTGACTTGGTATTCTTCAAAGGGAATCTTAATGCAGGGAAGCTTATAAATCTTTCTCAAAGGCAGAATCAGAAACTGTAAGGATTTGAGATCTCCTCTTCCTTGTAAGCTAATAAATTAGCCTGCCACAGTTCTACGGATGCTGGCAGTAGACAGAAGGCACCTGGGTCAAAGACCAAAGCGCAGCAAGTAGCCTCAAGATCATGTTTCGTGCCAGTTCCCCTTGCCTCTACCTCTTCCAGGCAACCCAGAGGGGTCCAAGTGGACGCTGCTCATGCAGGAGGTTTGCCTCGCAGCTGAGGATCATTAAGCTTGGGAAACCCAAATCTTTTGTGATGGGCAGTAAGCCTCCTTGAACTTTTCGCCCCAAAGAAAGTCATTCTCTTTATCACAGTGGGCAGTAAATAACCTTGCTTTTTTTCTCCAGAGGAAAACACGACCTCCATCTTCCAAGGCTGTTTGCTAACAAACATCCTTGAAAAAACAGTCCAGAACAAAGATGGCCCAATGCCTTTCCTCACAAGACATACAAAAACATGAGACCCATGGAAAATTGTTGAAAGAGAAGAAGGAGAGGGGAAGGGAGGGGAGGGGAGGGGAGAGGAAGGGAGGGGAGGGGAGGAAGGGAAGGGAGAAAGGAAAGGGAAGGAAGAGAGGGAGGAAGGAAAAATGGATGAATGGAAGAAAGCGTTTAAAGCATTTGCAAGTTTTCATATACACATTCCAAAGGGAACAAATTACCTCTAGAAATAAACGTTATCTAAATTGAGCTTGTACATATGTATAGAATACAATTGATGGGAGACCAGAGAGCAATATAGCACAGATCTGTGTATGTATCTGACTGGCCAAAGAAAAAAAAAAATTATAGAGAATAGGTTATTCGAGGAATGGCTGCTGAAGAGATATTTACCTTCAGCTCCATGAAACAAGCTCAAACTAGATTACATTATCTCAGATAAACACAGTACTAGGGGTCCCTCTCCCTCTCTGACTTTTGCAAAGAATGGCAATACAATGGTCCTAAAATCTTTGCAAGATCCAAGCTCAATTTTAAACAGCCTATATATGGGCAAGACTGGGCATATTTTGAGGCCTGGTGGTAATAAAACTAAATAGATCTATTTAGGATGAAAAATAAGAAGAGGATAAAGGCGCTGTATATAAGCAGCACTTGGACAATATTTTGTATAGTCAGCGGATACCATACCAGCAGTATTGGCAGTGACAAGAGACCATTGGCACCAATATTAATATTAGTACCACCCATATCAATATGGCAGGGCCGTGTCAGTGTAGACATTTCCCAGCAGCAATAGTGAAGGCAACTTCCCTGAGCTTTACCTAGGTGTTTCATACATAAGATGAAGATGGCACACCAAGGTGAAGGAGGAGGTGAATAACAAAAGCTACAGGGGATGAGATATTTGTAGCAGGAATATCAAGGAGGAGACAAGCATTCATGCAAAGTGATGATGGCAGAGCCAAGAAATCTTTCTTTTTTAAAATTGTTCTTATTAATTCATTTTGACTACTTGATTGGTATAACTTGAGAAACACGGTTTACTTATGAAAGCATGACCTTGGCCAGGCGTGTAGCTCACATTTGTAATCCCAGCACTTTGGGAGGCAGAGGTGGGAGAACTGCATGAGCCCAGAAGCTCAGGACCAAGCTAAGCAACATACAGTGGCCTCATCTCTAAAATTTAAAAAAAAAAAAGAAAAAGAAAGAAAAAAAAATTTAACTAGCTGGACATGGTGGTACTTGCCTGTAGTCCCAGCTACTCAAGAGGCTGAGGTGGAAGGATTGCCTGACCCCAGGAAGTCAAGGCTGCAGTGAGCCACGATCACACCACTGCACTCAAGCCTTGGTGACAGAGCAAGACCCTGTCTCAAAATTAAAATTAAATTAAATTAAAAAGTGGCCTCACACAAAAAAAAAGAATTTAGAAAAAGTGACATCTTTAGCAGACATCTTTAATAACAAACCTAGCACGTATCTTTAATAACAACCTAGAATTAACCTTATAACATTCTTTTTTTAACCTGCAAGCAAATATCTCCAATTCATAGATACATAAACATACAATTTTTATGTGTAATACATTTTTTTAATAATGTATACATTTATATTAGCATATATCAG